CAGTACAGTACAGTACAGTATAGTACAGTACAGTACAGTACAGTATAGTACAGTATAGTACAGTATAGTACAGTATAGTACAGTATAGTACAGTATAGTACAGTATAGTCTAGTATAGTATAGTATAGTATCGTATAGTATCGTATAGTATCGTATAGTATCGTATAGTATAGTATAGTATAGTATAGTATAGTATCGTATAGTATAGTTTTGTTCCACATGCTCACGAGGCCAAGCGGCACCGAGTCCAGAAGCCGCAAAGCACAGCTGCACAATCAGACGCTCGCCCCAATGCATCTTTACATGGAGCCGCAATGCTTCCCAGTCCTACTCACTGCAAAACTCTGAACCATAAACCCTAAACCCCAGCAGGAGACTCGGGATCTCGGAGCATTTCCGTACCCGCCGGTGCCAGGAGCTAAGCGGTGAGATTCTGCTCAGCAGCCCTCCTCCCACGAGCGCGAGTTGTACCGTTGCAAGTAGAAGTCTTACAGTACCGGCAACACAATCATTGTACTCCTTAAGCCCATGGGTGCGACGAGTACAGACTACTCCTGGAGGCTGTGGATGTAGAAGTGCACTGGCTTCCGGAAGCTAAGGCTCGGAAGATGGCTCGTGTGTCTCCATTAACCATAGGCGCGCGGCTTTGCCCGATAAACGTCGCTCCAGAGTTTGAGACGAAATCTTGTTGTACCCCGAGGGGATGCGGAGGATCCGCTGAATCTGAGCGATGCCTCCCAGGTGGGATGCTATCTCCAAAGTGCCTTAGGGTGTGTATGGTGTAGTAAGCACGCCATTTGCATCGCGCCCTGTGGGATGTTACATAGTGATGGACCACCTTTGCAGATAGCAGCTCTTGCTGACAACCAGCGGAAGCATGCAGAAAGAGGCCAGAGACTTGGCACCCTTTGAGGCAGGCTTTGTGGTACAGGTCTTGTGTTGCACTGCGACATTTGCTCAAAGGTCGCCGGCACAGCATCTCCACCACGACTGGTGCCGATTGCCACGCCTCTTGTTTGTTTTCGTGAGGGCTTTTCAGTCGACCATTATCGATCAAATCCTTATAGTCTGAAGAGGACCTAAAGAATAAAATAGTACACGGTCCACCATAAAATCCTTTTCTACTTCAGGTTAAAGGCGTGATGCTGTCGCTTCGATTGGAACAATCCTCGCGCCAGTGATGCGCCAGCAGCTGCACGACCACCTCCAAAGTCCCACAGGCACGGATACGACAAGGGTAGCTTGAAGATACTATACTACAGGGGTATTCTATGGTTGCTTGTAGGATCTTGTAGGATGCTACAAGGTTACTACGAGGGTACTGTGTGGTTGCTATACGACTGTCGTAGGGTCGCTCTATAGGGGGACTATCAGGGTGCTGTACTGATCGGTGTGGACAAGATATCCTTTAGTCCGATCGATCATCCCCTTGTCATCTCCTTGTGAGGTTCGGTAGCTTGAAACTTGCGCAGGCGGGTCACTGCCACTCAGGGCAGGTGCCTCAGAGTGGATTTGAACATGCTGAAACTCAGAGGCCTCCTGAAGCGGCTATGTTGCTGGCGTGCGAGCCGTATTGCACATCTAGACATCAGCCCACTCTTTCAAATGCAAGGGCTATCACCGTCCTCCTCCGCCCAGCGGGGTGCAAGACTCAGAAGACTCAGAAGTCTCATGCAGTGCTCTTGGGCCACAGTTGCCTTTTCTTGATGGCTTCGAGATGTTGCGAAAGACCATCACCAGCCCCCTTTGTGTCAGGCTTGGAAGGGTACCTTGATGGAGCGCACTCACCAGCGCACCAACAAGTGCTCCGGCCTTTTCGATGCTCCTCCCGCGTCTTCGGGCTCCTCGGGCTGTGCACGTACAGGTACGACCTCCGATTCCTCCCGGACAACGAACTGATGGGAAGTACCCAAGGCAAGAACCGACTAAACCCTAAACCCTAAACACCCTGAACCCTAAACCCTGAAGCCAAAACCCTGAGCCCTAAACCCAAAAATTCGCAGCATGGGGCGTTCCCTTTCGGATTGTTGCAGGTCCCGACGGCTTCGCTGCCATCTCTGGGACCTTCGACCCTTCCAGCAAGCGTGTGACCTGGGTGCGGCTCTCAGCCTCATCCGAATGAGTCCTGACATCAGAGGCCCAAAGCTCAAATTCTAAGAAGACTTTTTATACTACTCATACTAATAATACTACTGCCACTACTACTACTGCTGCTGCTGCTACTACTACTACTACTACTACTACTACTGCTACTGCTACGACTACGACTACGACTACTACGACTACCACTACGACTACGACTACTACGACTACCACTACTACTACTACTACT